CTCACTATAGCTCAAACACAATTAACATACTTATAATAACATATAAATAATTTTCTTTACCCTAATCTTATACAAGTCTAAGCATTTATCACACCATAGAGATTTAAAACTTATCTGTTATCTTAATAAGCAACTCTTGCTTGTTTTTTAGCCAATTACAATTATTAAACAGTATGGCAACCACGTAACTCAAGTTAAGTAAATGAATTATATAAATCATGAACAACTTGTGTTCAGAACCTGTTGAGAAATTTACATGTCCTTATTTAACTGTTTCCATTTGTGTTTTGTTATTTAACTTGAAGTTTCTTCTAATTTTTGTATTTTAGTTACTTCTATAATGATAAATAAAAAATATGGAAAACAAGAAATTTAGTACTTAAGTTTCCCCTCGTATCTTTACTGCTGACTCATCGATGAGGCTAAGCCTTTTTTTTTATTAAAATTGGTGTTAGTATTTCAAATATTCACCAAAAAAACGCAAAATAACAACATACACAAAGCAAACAATGTTTTATAACTATTATAATTTACTTTCTAACTAAAGTATAAAAATAAAATAAAAGCCTTAAAATAATTCCCTTAACCGATTGATCTGAACTCTGTGATAGCAACTTTACTTGACCACGAGAAATGTGCACTTTATTCTCTTGTATAAAGATAAAGCCACAGTTGTGCTGTAAGTATCGTACACCGAGTGTCACCTGATGATGATAAAACAATTACTGTTCAAAACAGATATTAATACACATTCTTAAACAAGATTTAAGTTTTGTTTTTGCGTTTATAAAAAAGGCTAGTGTTAAGATTATCCTTATTCGTTCAGAAATCCTGATCCCACCTTTTCTTTTTTCAGTGGATTTGTATAAATCATGTGGAAAAACGAGGTTGACGTTATTCACATAGTTAAGTTAGAAATTGTACTTAGGACTAATCCAAATCTTCTAAACTGGTTGAACCTCGTGAAATATTACTAGGATTACAGCCAAAAATAGTGTTAACAGTGAGTGTCCCCATCTGATGAAAAAGTGCATTCTAATCTTTTTAAGTAGAAATATAAGAAAAGTATATTTAATTAGCCATACCGATGGCCAGTTTCATTTTTATGTTTACTCTAGTACGTAAATGATTTTAAAATGTAAATTGTGCCGTTGGTGAATTAATATGACAGATGAAATCTTTACCTAACAAATGTAAACTGAAAAGGTTTTGTCTTATTTCTGTAATTGTATATATTAAGCAGTATGTAAAAGAAGTGTAAAAAATATGCTCTACCTCGATGATATATCATCAATATGAGGAAGCACAGATTCTGGAGTTGACCGTCCTGTAAAACAAAACGTGTGAAACTTAAAAACGTTTTAGTTTAAAGCAACATGAGCTTATAAACTTTATAGTAGATTCTTATGTTAAATTGTTCTCACTGAATTAGTTTATTTTCTTACAAGAATTATTTTTGAAAGAGAAATTAAAAAATTTTAACCCTACTTATAGAGAAGAAAGAATGGTAAAAAGCGAGCTTCGCAAAATAAAGCATCTTAACGTTTCAAACATTAGAATCCAACTTATAGACAATGAACATAAAAAGTGAAGTCAGCAATAAGCTAACAATAAGTCAGCAATCACACTACAAAGATTTAAACAGATTTTATTGACATGACGAACTTTTAATTAGGAAGAAGCCTCACTTTCGTATACTTGACGAAAATTAGTTTAGAAAGTCCCTAAAATTACTTCTTCATAACATTGAACATTTACAGGTTTTCTAAACATACCTTAATTTTACTGTAATTTGTGAGAAGTTTGTTTGTTTGTCCGCTAACTCCTCCTAGACTTTGGCATTTGGACCTGTCAAATATGGTTCAATCAACTCGAAATGATTTCGAACTTATTTTTCTTTTAAAATGAAAAATTTCAGTGGTGGCTATATATAGATTAGTCAGTGGGGGTGGTCACTAGTGGTATTGATGGGATTTCTTGAATTTTAAACAGATTTTACTGACAGGATGAACTTTTACTTAGTGGGGGTGGTCACTAGTGGAATTGATGGGACTTCTTCAGTTTTAAACAGATTTTACTGACACAATGAACTTTTAATCAGTGGGGGTGGTCACTAGTGGTATTGATGGGACTTCTTCATTTTTAAACAGAGTTTACTGACAAGATGAACTTTTAATCAGTGGGGGTGGTCACTAGTGGTATTGATGGGACTTGTACAGTTTCTTCTTTCATTACGAGGGGTATATATATATATACAGTTTGTGTACTTTCAGTCATTACTGGCATACTTAAGACAAAATCAGAAACGTTATCTACATTCATAACTGGTAAAATTACAACAACGTTTCCTCTTCAGATCCTATCACTCCTATCACACACATTATTTATACAAGCTTTTAAGATAATCACACTTATAATAAGTGAGATGTTTATAAATCATGTTACTTATTGCTTTAAAAATGTAAAATAGAAAAAAAAATGTTATTTTAACAATCAAGTCCAGTGAATACGAACAATTGTATTCTTACGTTATTTTAATCTTTATATAGCCAACAGTATATTTTTTGGAAAGAAAAAAAACTTTCATAAACCTCTTGCTGTGATTGGTTCTTATTGAATAAAACTAGTTTATCTAAACAATGGTTGGTTCTTATTGAATATAACTAGTTTATCTAAACAATGATTGGTTCTTATTGAATATAACTAGTTTATCTAAACAATGGTTGGTTCTTATTGAATAAAACTAGTTTATCTAAACAATGGTTGGTTCTTATTTAATATAACTAGTTTATCTGAACAATGGTTGGTTCTTATTGAATAAAACTAGTTTATCTAAACAATGGTTGGTTCTTATTTAATATAACTAGTTTATCTGAACAATGGTTGGTTCTTATTGAATAAAACTAGTTTATCTAAACAATGGTTGGTTCTTATTGAATAAAACTAGTTTATCTAAAAAATGATTAATTCTTATTGAATAAAACTAGTTTATGTAAACAATGGTTGGTTCTTATTGAATAAAACTAGTTTATCTAAAAAATGATTAAT